CGTGAGGTGTCTTTTTATAACCTTTTCTTGCCCATTTTTAATATGGTAGATGTGCGGTGTTTCTTTCATAGTGAAATAAAACCTATTTTGACATAGCTTGTTTTAGAGAGGTGGCCTATATTATTAGTTTAACAAAATTGAAGGTTTTCTATTCAGTTACTGTTGTGAGAGTAAATTTCCTGGATTCTATGACAAAGTTTGCAAAACATTACTTGGGATTTTTAAATAAAGTATTATTGGGTGAGGTGGCTCATGCCTGTAATCCCAGCACTTTGGGAGGCCGAGGCAGGCGGATCACAAGGTCAAGAGATCAAGGCCATCCTGGCCAACACGGTGAAACCCTGTCTCTACTACAATACAAAAATTAGCTGGGCATGGTGGTGCATGCCTGTAGTCCCAGCTAGTCAGGAGGCAGAGGCAGGAGAATTGTTTAAACTCAGGAGGCGGAGGTTGCAGTGAGCTGAGGTCGCGTCACTGAACTCCAACCTGGCACCTGGCCACAGAGTGAGACTGTCTCAAAAAAAAAAAAAAAATTATTTTTACATTCTCTTTATCGCATTTCAGGAGAAAAAAAATCCCTAAATATTTACCTAAGTTTCATAGTTTGAATATAGCTAGCAAAGTTGTTAGAGATTTACCCAAAAACTTGGAAAACTTAGGTCTACACGGAAACCTGCACATGAATGCTTTTAAGAATTTATTCATAATTGCCAAAATTTGGAATCAAGATATCCTTCAGTAGGTGAATGGATAAATTATGGTATATCCATACAATAGAATATTGTTCAGCAATAAAAAGAAATGAGCTATTGGCCAGGTGAGATGTCTCACACCTGTAATCCCAGCACTTTGGGAGGCCGAGGCTGGTGGATCATGAGGTCAGGAGATCCAGACCATCCTGACCAACGTGGTGAAACCCCGTCTCTACTAAAAATACAAAAATTAGCTGGGCGTGGTGCCACGTGCCTGTAGTCCAAGCTACTCAGGAGGCTGAGGTGGAAGATCTTGGGAGGTGGAGGTTACAGTAAGCCAAGATTGTGCACTGCATTCCAGCCTGGTGACAGCAAGACTTCATCTCAAAAAAAAGAAAAAAACATGAACTATCAAGCCATGAAAAGATGGAGAAACCTTAAATGCATATTGCTAAGTGAAGCTAGTCTCAAAAGGCTGCATATGATATATAATTCTAACTATGACATTTCTGAAAAAGGCAAAATTATAGACTGATAAAAAAATTAGTGGTTACCAAGGTTGGGGAAGGTAGGAGGGTCAAATAGGTCAGATAGCACAGGGCATTCCCAGGGCCGCTAAACTGTTTTGTATGATACTATAATGGTGAATGCATGTCATTTGTAAAAATTTGTAGAATGTACAGTACAAAGAGTGAACCCTAATATAAATGATGATCTTTAATTAATAATACTGTATCATCATTGGTTTTATCAGTGGCAAGAAATGTGCCACACTAAGGCAATATGTCAATAATAGAAGCTACGTTTGGTGGGTGGTGGGGAGCAGAGGTATATGGGAGTTCTTTCCACTTTCCACTCAACCTTTCTGTAAACCTAAAGCTGCTCTAGACAATAATATCCATTAATTGAAAAAAAAAGTGCTCAATTAAAAAGTGACACCTATTCCTTTATGTATAATACTACCTTCTGCATAAGGAAGGAGGTGCATAGTTAATATTTTCTTACGAAGGAGAGCATAGTTAATATTTTTCTAATCTCACTTCTTCAGAGAGATGTACATAGATCTCATGTATAAACAAATTGTTTATACGGACATTAGGAAATTTGAGGTGTGTTTTTTTTTTTTCCCTTGAAGCCATTTATTGAGTGTATACTATTTGTAAGATATTATTAGGTATTTTTGTATAACATGTCTGTTTAGTTTGAAGTAGATACTAATCACTCCATTGCATGGGTGAGAAAACTGTGGCTCAGATAAGGGAAGTGGGAAAGCTGGTACTTGACTCCAAAGCCTGGGTACTCTATGGTCCTAGTAATTCACATAGACTTTTTTTTTTTTTAAATAGCTAAAGTTTGTCCCCTAAAGTAAATGTAAGTCCTTTAGAGCTAAAACAATATTAAAGAGGATCGTCTAGATAAGAATCTTGACTCTACTGTTAATGGTTTTATTTAGGTTATGTTACCTGTTTATGCTTTAGTTTCCTTATGTGTTCATTGGAGGCAGTAATTGAGATTGTTAGGAGGGTTGAGTTAATATATGAAACAGAACAGGGCCAAGTACAAAGTCTGAGCTCCATACATGTAATTCCACTAATTAATAATGGAATTATTTCTCATTTTATAAATAAAGGAAATAGAGACCCAAGGAAATTGACTCTCTGAGTCACATAGCTTCTAAAGTCGCATAGCTATTAACTAACAAAGTTAGTTTTTAAAAAAATTTTAAGACCAGAATTTTATCTGTTCACCTTTTTTTTTTTTAAAAAAGAAAAACTTTCAAAAAAGATTGTAGTTTCTCCACATCTGTTTAGAGTAAACCAGATATATTATAAATTAGACCTTTTTCTCAATCAGATTGATAAATAGGAGAAAGCACTGGTTTATAATTTTGGTTCCAAATCATGTCTTATCCCTACTTTGCTATATAACCTTAAATATTTGATTCTCTTTCCTTTGTAAAATGAGGGTAGAGTTGGTCAGATGATTTTTAAGTTTGTTTTTTAACACCAATAGAATATATAGTGAAGAGAGATACAGTTGTTGTTGTTGTTTTTCATGAGTTATTACACTATGCTATCATACTCTGAAGTTCCCAGAGGTTCTTGATGATAGGGTAGTTAACCTCCATGCTAAATGACTGCGGAGTGCTATACTTTTTATATTGGTGATCCATGATTTCCTCACGACATCTGAACCTGTCTCATAGCATTGTTCCTTCTTTTTCTGCCTTCAGTCTATTCAATTATTTTAAGACAGGGTCTTGCTCTGTTACTCAGGCTAGAGTGCAGTGGTGTGTTATTTATTCATGGCTTACTGAAACCTCACCCTACTGGGTTCAAGTGATCCTCCCACCTCAGCCTCCTGAGCAGCTGGCACTACAGGCATGTGCCACTATGCCCACCTAATTCGTTGTTAATTTTTTTTGGTAGAGATGGAGCTTCACTGTGTTGCCCAGGCTTGTCTTGAACTCCTAGGCTCCAGTGATCCTCCTAGCCGAAGGCTTTCAAAGTGCTGGGATTACAGGCATGAGCCACCATGCCTGGCTGGCTTCACTTTTTAATTTTATTTTTTTTAAGACAGAGTCTCACTTTGTCACCCAGGCTGGAGTGCAGTGGCACTCCAGTGATCTCGGTTCCCTGTAACCTCCACCTCCTGGGTTCAAGTGATTCTCCTGCCTCAGCCTCCCAAGTAGCTGGGATTACAGGGACCTGCCACCACATCCTGCTAATTTTTTTATTTTTAGTAGACAGGCTTTCACCATATTGGCAGGCTGGTGGTGAACTGGCTTCACTTATACAAAGAAAGCTTGTGTACTTTGTTTCAGTTATTGACTGAACACATAGCAATCCTTTTTGGCTGTTGGATTCACAGCTAAGTAGTAAATAGTTGAGTCCCTTAGAATGGAGTAGGGTTGGGAATGGGAGATGCTGAAGACTTTAGTTATATAGTAAGGTCTTTATATGGAAGGTATAATTTTAGTGACTAGAGCATTTTTGAGGTATCTCTTGCTGTGGGAGCATACTTGAACCCCTGTTTTTGGTTGTCCAAAAAGATCCCATGAATTGTAGCACTTGTGTATTTCTTCCTTAATGTGATACAAGTCATAATAAAGTAAGTCAAATTTATTAGAACCTGTTCTATTAAATAGTAGTATTAGTAGTATTTTTAAAGACATAGGTCTTGCTTTGTTGCCTAGTCTTGTCTCAAACTTCTGGCTTTAAGCCATCCTCCTGTCTTGGCCTCCCAAAGCACTGAGATTACAAGCATGAGTCACCTTACTTGGCATAACTGAGAATATTAAGAAACCGTTATTGACAATAGTGAGGGTGTTTTCTTATTAAAGGAAATTAGATTTAAAGGAAAGATATTTAGATGAAGAGAAAGTTGTTTTTTTGTGAGTTTATAAGATATATAGTATGTAAATTATGTCCTCTTGTAGTCACATAAAGTGTGTGCTATATTTTGATGTTAGCTCTTTAAAAAAAATTTTTTTTTCTCTTTTTCTTGTAGCTGGGTTTCTAAGTATTTAATCAATGCTCAAAAAAGTTTACTTTTACTCTGGAATGAAATCTCATAAAGGTGGAACAAAATAGGTAACAATGATTAGGCCTCTGGATAGAAATATACCGTGGAATTCTAGTGAGGGACATCTAGGGGTAATGAAGTCAGGATCTAGTGAATATTCAGGAGTCTGGCGTAGCAGTACATACAGGCCCAGGGATAAATAGGGTCTTTTGGGAGTTAAGGAATAAAGCAAAAAAAAAAAAAAAAAAAAAAAAGAAAAATTCTGAATTTTAGGCCAAAAAAAACAAATTAAAGAACAAACATTGTGCCAGCATGTACTCTTTAATGGCAGTATCAAATGTGAAAGCATCATGGAACACTCATTGGTATTGTTATATTTTCAGGTGTCTTTACTGAATTTTCTGATGGGTCTGACTAATGCCAATTTCTAGTTGAAAACCTGATGATTAATTGTAACATTGTTGTCATTAGTAGTAGTATTACTCTTTTAGGTGATGCTTCTTGACTGAATCTCTTTGTAAATGTATTTATCTCATTGAGTGCAAGTCAGTCAGCTGCCACATTGTAGCTACCAGGAGGCTTAGTTTTCTGGCCATCTATCTCTCCTAGGCTTCTGGGCCCAGGCCTTCAAAGGAGTGTGTTAGATTTTTGTTTGAACTGAGGGAATTTTCCTCTTTGAGTTTATTTAAGTTTTTAATCAGGAACATGTTTATGGGCTACACGCTCAGATTGGAAGCTAATAGTAAATAAGATTTTTGAAGTTGTTTTCCTCTTCTCTTGCAGGTGTGTTCCAGAGAACAAGTCTTCAAACATATTTGCTATATTGACACTTAGCTGTCAGGGGACTCAGGCTTATGAGGAGGTATTGTTACACAAAACAGTGTCTAGTGAAGACGACAAGAAAGAGGGGAAAGGATCGGAAAAAGAAGCTGAAATACTATAGAAAACCATGGTAGGTTATTGTGGACATTTTCATAATTTATTTACAAAAGACTCCAGTAATTTAAAATTGGAAATGTTAACAGTGAGGGCGAATGAAAAACAATGGTGTAAATTTTTTGCACTCTACTATTTAAGCGAAGTGACTGAATTCAGATTTATTATAAGCCCTATAAACCACAAGGTAGGGCCCCATGAGCCTGTAGGCCATGAATTATTAAAACAAAGGAGGGAATGCTCATAAATAATATTTTCTCATAAAACTGGCATTAGCAAACTGACACAAATAGCTAGGTTTTTTACTTTAAGTTCAGTTTTTTTCTCGTGGAAATTAATTCTGAATCAGTCATTAAATTAGTGATAGGAATGATGTAGAAGTTTATAAAATGTGTGAATGTTTAACTGAAAAAGTCACCTCTTTCACATATTTTTCAAATAATAGGGTCAAGTGCTGAGTATAGTAGGGACACTGAAATGTGAATCAGAGAAACCTTGCTTTTTGTGAAGAGTTCAGACTTAAATAGAATTTGTGATGTTAGATGAGATCATAATCTCTGGTGCCTAGGCTTTTAATTGGTAAAATGTGCGGATTTTTTTTCCCCCTTAGTATTATTAGTTCTGGAGGGTGTTGTGTGAAGTTTTCTCCTAAGTATAAGCAATAAAAGGTTTCTTTTCTTTCTTTCTTTTCTTTTCTTTTTTTTTTTAGACAAAGTCTTGCCCTGTCACCCAGGCTGGAGAGCAATGGCATGATCTCAGGTCATTGCCACCTTGCCTCATTGCAAGTGAGTGTCCCTGCCTCAGCCTCCCGAGTAGCTGGGATAACAGGTGCCCACCATCATGCCTGGTTCATTTTTTTGTATTTTTAGTAGAGACAGGGTTTTGCCATGTTGGTCAGGCTGGTCTCGATCTCCTGACCTCAAGTGATGCACCTGCCTCAGCCTCTCAAATTGCTGGGATTATAGGCATGAGCCACTGTGCTGGCCAAGGTTTTAAAAACACATTACAAATGAGAGAAAAAGCCCAGTGTGTTTGGAATATATTGTTTAGCAAGTCTGATGGTGGTGATGTGTTTTGGTTTTTTTTGAGACAGGGTCTTGCTCTGCCACCCAGGCTGGAGTGCAGTGACATGATCATAGGTCACTGCAAACTCCAATTCCTGGGCTCAAAGGATCTTCCTGCTTGAGCCTCCCAAGTAGCTGGGCCTATAGGCGCATGCCACCACATCTGGCTAATTTTTAAATTTGTGTAGAGATAGGGTTTTGCTTTGTTGCCCAGGTTGATCTGGAACTCCTGGGCTCAAGCAATCCTGCTGATGCCTTAGCCTCTCAGAGTGCTGGGATTATAGGCATGAGGCACTGTGCCCAGCCTGGTGGTGTTTCTTTAAATGTTACTTGCTTTTGTGTCAAGGAGTATAACTTAATCAGCTGGCTCCTTAGAGAAGAAATTCTAATATTTTAGATCTAGATGGTAGGAACAAATGTTAACTTGGGATTTTCCCTGTCATTTTAGTTATGCGGTAAAATGTGAAAAAAACCATACTGATTCTTTTGTATCTTACCACATGAATTATTTGCCTCTGATTGTGCTCATTTTTTATAATCTTGATATTCTTATGACTAAAAGAAATGCTTTATTATTTATCAAAGTGGATGAAGTTGTCTTCCTTAGTTTATTCTTTTTAAATTCAGCTTAGATTTTCTGATGTATAAATTTTGTGCTTTTATATAATTTAATTGATGAGTATTTTTCAGTTTCTCTTGTTACTTGCTCTTTCAATCTTCAATTGCAATAAGAATTTTCTCTTTCTGCCTAGTTCTTCTGATTATTTGTTTATTTATTTATTTATTTAAGATTGAGTCTCGCTCTGTCACCCCGGCTAGAGTGTAGTGGTGCTATCTTGACTCACTGTAACCTCTGCCTCCCGGGTTCAAGCAGTTCTCCTGCCTGAGCCTGCTGAGTAGCTGGGATTACAGGCATGTGCCACCATACCTGGCTAATTTTTTCATACTTTTAGTAGAGACCGGGTTTCACCATGTTGGTCAGGCTGGTCATCTTGAATTCCTGACCTTGTGATCTGCCCACCTGGGCCTCCCAAAGTGTTGGGATTATAGCTGTGAGCCAATGTGCCTGGCCTTTTTTTTTGAAACAGAGTCTTGCTTTGTTGCCCAGGCTGGAGTGCAGTGTCACTATCTTGGTTCACTGCAACCTCCACCTCCTGGGTTCAAGTGATTCTTCTGCCTCAGCATCCCAAGTAGCTGGGACTACAGGCATGCACCACCACACTCGTCTAATTTTTGTATTTTTAGGAGAGACGAGGTTTCACCTTATTGGCCAGGCTGGTCTTGAACTGCTTGACCTCTGATGATCCGCCAGCCTCAGCCTCACAAAATGCTGGCATTACAGGCGTGAACACTCAGTCTGATTTGTTTTTTTTTAATACTTAAAGAAAACTGTGTGGAGCTTATTTGAGTAAATAAGATTTCTCTCCATTTTTGATTATACCTATTTCTTCAATTTTTCCTGTCACTGTTGTTTCATAATGCTTATCCTGTCACATCCAGTAGAATGTTAGATGTAACATTTTTGGATTTAATGTTGGCAGTCTGTATTATTTGTGTGATAAATGACAAATGTTTATGTAATGTAGCAATATGTAGTTTTGCTCAGGTGTGGTCAGTGTGCAGGACTGGGTAATTTAGCAAGTACATAAGCCTAGCTAACAACCCAGCATCTCCAACTTTACAGCTCTTTTGTTTTCTAGTATTTATTTTGGGATATATGAACAAATCTCACGAAGTGTTTAAAAAAATTTGTTTCTTTATGGCAAACCGCTCCAGTTGGAAAACTGGTTGTGGATGTCGAGCAAGAAAGAAATCTAGACAGGTGATTTTTATTTAGAAAAAGAAGGTTTTAAAATCTATTTTAGCTCTTTATTTATATAATGATTGAGGTTTTCACATCATTACCTTTTCAACTAAAGTTTTCTTTGCTTTATAGAGGACAGCGACACTATAGTGTTAATTTACTATTATCCAAAAATAATATTTTTAAACATAGATATTCAAACAAGAAAAAGAGGCAAGACTGTTCATAAAGAATTGAGAATGTTTAGTTTGCGATGGACTTCAAAACAAAATATTTACCATGTACTAACGTATAATTTCATGTAAGTAAAGACAGTATAACCAGCTTTTAAATGGAATATTTTAGGCTTTATGGAAAACTCACTAAGTTATTCTTGTTCATTTTGCTGTGTACTGGTTCAAGTGTCCTTTTGATATTTGTAAATCTGGAAAAATTTCCAGGTTTTTGGACTCCTGAGTGTATCGGATCATGACTCATGTGTGACACATGAGTGTATAGGATCTACTCGGTTAAATTTTCATGAAATTCATTCATTTTCTGGGTGCTGGTCTGTTCCACTGTCGATATTTTATTTTAGTTCATGGTACCACCCATCCATCTTTATAGAGTATTTCTTGATACTGTCATTGATTTTTTTTTTTTCCCAAATGAACTTTAAAACGATTTTTGTTGAGATTTAAGTAAATCAACTCTGAGGAGATTTTGATTGAGAAGATATTTGTCAATTAGCTTCATTCATTTTGCAGTGTGAATTTTTTCCACTCCGCATTTGGAATGTCTCCTACTAATCTATTTAAAAATTAAAGCCTTGCACCGAAGGTTTGAATGTCAAATAGTTAACACTATTCCAATGTTTTTAATAGTTTTCTTATGGTGTTCACAGATAACTTTTTATTTTGTATTATTCTGTATTATGAAATCTCAAATTCTAAAATTGAAATAGAGACCTGGGTCTTACTCTGTTGCCCAGGTTGGAGTGCAGTGACCCAATGGAAACTCACTTAACCTTGAACTCCTGGGCTCTAAGGATCCTCTTGCATTAGCCCCCTGAGTAGCCAAGACTACAGGTGCCCACTACCATGCCCAGCTTATTTTTTTTCTTTTGTTTGGAGAAACTGGATCTTGCTGCATTACCCAGGCTGGTTTCCCAACTTCTGGCCCCCAGCAATCCTCCCACCTCAGCTTCCCAAAGTGACGGGATTGTAAGCATGAGCCACCAAGCCCAGCCCTGAAATCTCAGTTTTTTAAGGTTAGAAATCTTGGGCAGTTTGGAAGGGTTAGAAGTCTTTGGCAGTTTATGAGTCACTCACAATCCTGCATTTCTGGGACTCTCTTGAAGCTAAGAAGTATCTGATTCTTGCAGATGATGCATGATGTGGATGACAGTTTTTGAAGTAGTATTCAGAATGTGTAGATTCAGCTAAAAGATAACTGTACTCATTTGTTTGTTTAGAGACGGAGTCTACTCTGTCACCCAGGCTGGGATGCAGTGGTGTGATCTTGGTTCACTGCCACCTCTGTCTCCTGGGTTCAAGTGGTTCTGCTGCCTCAGCCTCCTCAGTTGTAGGTGCCTGCCACGACACCTGGCTAATTTTTGTATTTTTGGTAGAGATGGGGTTTTACCATGTCAGCCAGGCTGGTCTCAAACTCCTGACCTCAACTGATCTGCCCACCTCAGCCTCCCAAAGTGCTGGAATTACAGGCATGTGCTACCGTGCCTGGCCAAGATAACATTATAAATAAGGCCAAGAGTGACCAAGGTAAACCTTACCAAAACATGAATGAAAGATCTCGGCTGGGTGTGGTGGCTCACGCCTGTAATCCAAGCACTTTGGAGGCCAAGGCAGGCGGATCACCTGAGGTCGGGAGTTCAAGAAAGATCTCTTGTCTTCTGGTGAAGAGTTCAACAGAATGGGGTTTTACTTCCTACTCTTGAGCGTTTTTTCTTGTTTCAGTATTAACTGTTTCACAATAGACAGTCAGTGCTGTGGGTTTGCTAAAGATATATTTGTATATCATCCTTTTCAGGTGGTATTTCTTGTGTTGAAGTAATTGTTTTCATTCTCCTTCTAACAGAGATCTATTCGATCTTTTGCTAATGATGATCGCCATGTTATGGTGAAACATTCAACAATCTATCCATCTCCCGAGGAACTTGAAGCTGTTCAGAATATGGTATCTACTGTTGAATGTGCTCTTAAACATGTCTCGGATTGGTTGGATGAAACAAATAAAGGCACAAAAACAGAGGGTGAGACAGAAGTGAAGAAAGATGAGGCCGGAGAAAACTATTCCAAGTGAGTGTAGACTGACCTCTGGGATGTTGTGCTACGTGCACAGCACAGCTCTGAGGTCCTGCTGGATTGAGTTTATGTTACACTGTTTTTTGGATTTTGTCTTATGCATATATGAGACTATATACAAGGAAGTAAAGGTTAAGTGGAGATTTTCTGAGTTAAATTTGAAAGGAAACCTTGAAAAGAGTAAAGATCAGAGCCAGAGAAAGAAAATGGACCTGTTTAGGATCCCTTTTGAGAGAACACCATGTCCTCTAATGATCTTTTTACTTTGGTGATTCAGCCTCCTAAATTTTGAAATAAATAGTGTTTTGGTCTCTGGGGAGATCATAAAATATCATTTTTGTAAGGCATTTAAAAATCCTCATATGGTATTTTTGACTGTACTACTTTCATTGATTCCCAGGAATTTAGCAGTGTCCTGCATATTGTAATTGCTCGTTTTATATTTGTGGATTGGATAAAGGTCTAATGGGAACCATACCCTTTAACAATTATAGTAGAATATTCTGAGTGCTGTGACAATAGTAGGTTAGTGAAACTGAAGTGGTACCTGGAGTTAGATCACTAACCTTTTTATGCAAGGCTAAGCTTAAAGTTATTGTTTTGAGCATTTGTCACTGTGATTGGAGTAAGTTTCTAACTTTGAAAGAGGGAGCTCATTTGACAATACTGTATTAATAAATTTAAAAACATTACTTTGGCTACAATTTGTAAATGGAAGAGGTTACAGAATTTTTTCTTCTGCTTTTCACTTTTAAATCAACATGGTAAGTAGATAAATAACAGTAGGAAAGTATTGATAAATGGATTTTCTTCACTGAAAAATAGTATAAACTTTTTTTTATCTTCAAATGAAAGATAATCAGTGTATCAGTTTTATTGCTGAAGAGTGTAATTTTTTTTAGCTATTTACAGGCAGTTTAGACATTGTATCTGGTTATAGTCTTGTCAGTTTGAAGGTTCTTGGACATGTAATTATTCTCTTATATGATGTCTGTACAAATGTTACTGTTAGATTTGGAGTTCATGTTCACTAGTAATATTATCTAATTATTTAGTTCTGTGTGTATCAGCTCTTCTGCAACTTAAATAGTCATGTATGTATTCCAGATTTAAATTGCACTTTGTTGCATGTTTATGTCATGTTAAAAACTTTTTTTATTATGGTAAAATGTATAACATAAGATTTGCTATTTTTGTTTTAAGTATATATTTCAGTGAAATTTTCTTTTTAACACAATTTCTAATTTTGTTTCTTCTCAAGCCTGGAATGTTTTGGAAAGCACTCCTATAGACTTGCTTAACTGGATGAGGTCTGTCATTTAAAGACTTTTATAGGATAATATGTTCCATACTTTCATTTGAAGTTTTATTTTTATTTTAATTTTTTTTTTCTTAGAGAAAGGGTGCTCTGTTGCCCAGGCTGGAGTGTAGTGGTGTAATCATAGCTTATTGTAGCCTTGAACTCCTGGGCTCCAGTGATCCTGGGCTACATTAGCCTCCTGAATAACTAGGACTATAGGTGTGCACCATCATGCCTGGCTAATTAAAAAAAAATTTTTTTTGAGACAGAGTCTTGCCACATTGCCCAGTCTGGTTTCAAACTCTTGGCCTCAAGCAGTCCTCCTGCCTTGGCCTCCCAAAGTGCTGGGATTACAGACATGAGCCACTATGCCAGGCCTGGATTTTTAAATATGGTTCTGTGTGTGGATGCTCTTGGTTGTCTATATACAGTCTCTCCATTTTGTGGAACAGTTCTTGTTGAGCCCTTGCCTATGATCTTTTCCATATGGTGGAACTCAAGGAGTACAGAATGATTCTCTTCTTTACATCAGAGGCAGGCATGTCTTCCAAGGACAGAGTTGTGTTCTGGTAATGAACATATGTTGTGTGCTTCGCGAGTGTTAAGCACTCTGAAGGACACAGAAATGGGTTGGGGGTAGCTTGTATTTATTAAGCAATCAAGTGTTTTCTATTGCCAGGCACTGTTAGGCAGCTTTTACCTATGTTCTCTTATTTTAACTTAATACTTTACCTTTTAAAAAACCGATTCAAAAGTCAAATAACTTATACAAAGTCCCACAATTTGTATTATTAGGAATATTAGAATTCTGTTTTTAATTTTAAGTAATTCACATGTAGTAAATTCAAATACATTGGGTTGCTTGCTGTACAATAACCGTCATGTTCCAATTTTGTAATTCAAATTCATGATTGTTTGAATTAGGAATTCATTTTCCGCTCAATCATGGTGTCTTCTAGCTGTGGGCTGATAAGACGTAGTATATCATAATTATGATTTAGAATTTAATAACTGAGCTAATAATAGCTACTATCTATTGAGTGCCAACTATTGTACCACAGTATTTTTTCTGTTATCTTACAACAAATCTACTAGTCTCTATTGTCTCCCTTTCTCCACTCCTGTTTTACTTGTGAAATTTCCTGTACTCCAGACTTGGCTATGAGAAAGAGTGACTCTGAATCCTTCACAAATTTTAACTTGCTTAAGGCCACTTAGTAAATATGTGTGGTTGAGCCAGGATTCATATTCAAATTTCTCTGACTCCAGAACCAGTTTTCTTAGCATCTATACTTCAATGTCCTGTGAATAAAATGTGAAAGTACAGAGCAGAGAGAGATGATGTGCTGGTTCCAGGAGTCTGAAAAAGCTTTACAAGGAGGTAGCACTTGGAACAGGCTCAGAGGATGGACGGATAGGCTTTTGGCAGGTGGTGAAAGTGAAAGAAAAAAATAAATTTCAGCAACGATATAGGTATGAGAAAGTATAATAACTGTTTAAGGAATAATAACTATTGTTTATTGAGCTATTAATATCTGTTGGGCTCTGGCCAAAGTTTATTACTTGTATTAAATGTATTCTCAGTACCACTCTGTGAGAAAGGCATTATTCCTGTTTTACAAATGAGGAAGCAGGCTCAAAAGAAGTCACGTTATTTGAAATTTGTCCAGTGTCACAGAGTAAGTAGCAGAGCCAGGATTTGAACCAGGAAACGATGCCGCTTTCTAAATTGCCTCCCAATATGGTAAGTGTCCAGGTGTTCAGTGGGACACCGAGGAAATAGTAGGTAGAGTATTATACAATCAGCACCTTTGGAAGATAATTCTGATTGCTGTATACAGTACTTTGGAGATGACAGAGGTGAGTCAGAAAGGCCAGTGGGGAGGAGGTTACTGAGGTGGTCTACATGAGACGTAATAAAAGCCTGAAGAAACTGGTTTGCAAGCAATAGTTTGATCGTGATTATGGAGGGAGAATTTATAAACCATTATAGTCTTAGGTTTGGAAGAATGAGAGGACAAGGATACAGAGGAAGAAGGAATCAAAGATGACTGATTCTTTATTGTTAATATCAGATAATTGCCTACACTTGGGTCACTTGCTTTAAAATGCTTTTTATTTCTATACTTGTACCACCTTTATAGTTTTTCATTGATTTAGTGTTTATTGAATCTTTATAAGCATGCTAGGCACCGAACTCATGGCTGTATTATTTATAATTTCCTTTCTTGTTTCCCCTGCCACAGTTTCTTTCCCTCCCTTCTCCCTTTCCATTTTATTCTCAACTCTGCTGATTCTTCCCCAACTCTGCTGATTATTTGCTTATAGCTTGAATGACCGTTTCCCATCTAGGCAGATCAAGATTCTGCTGAAGTCAGACTTTCAGTTTGCCTTGCTTTACATCTCTAATACGACCTCTCCCTTTCCTGAACTTGGGAAGCAATCATATAATGTAAGGGACCTGAATGTTGTGGTCAAAACAACTTGGGTTTGAATCTAGGCTTTGCCATTTTACTTGCTTGGTGAACTTGAACAATTAACTTTTCTGAGGTTCACATTTCTTGTCTTCCAAATGGAGGCTTGTTGTGAGATTTAAATGAGAATATGTGACACTGTTTGTGCTCAGATGTTACTTTCTCTTCCCCTTTTAAGCAGGGTGCTTAAACTGTTACTGCTTTTGTTGCTTCACTATAGAGTAAGCCTCAGGAGCAGGAGAGACTGTAACTCCTGTAATGTTTGCCATACTCAAACACTTGCTTATTTGTTGAAAGACTGCTAAGCTTAGTTAATATTTTCACTTGTGATTAAGGGAAATGAACCAAGAAGAAACTTTTAGAATTAAAACCAACGATAGATGAGCGTTTTTCTTATGCACCATTCATGACTTGATGTTCTTTGAGTGTTTGCTCTTCTGCTACTCCTGGATTTGGAATGCATATGCTGGCAGTTTATCTTTCCTTCCTCAGCTCTATACTACATTGTTCTGCTTTCCCCATAAGCTGATATAGAATGGGAGGAACTTTAGAATGATACAGCTTGGAGGAACTTTAAGCTCATCTAGCCAGTAGTCATTTTACTGTTGTGGATACTGAGTCAGCAGGACCACTAGTAGAATCCAGGTCTTTTTGATTTATACGCTGATGTTCTTTCTCAATATACCATAGTATTCATGTCCCTCACAAATGCCCTAATTCCTACTAAAACAGAAGGAAGTTTATTTTATTTTTTGAGACAGGGTCTCATTCTGTCACTCAGGCTGGAGTGCAGTGGTACAAACATAGTTCAGTGCAGCCCCGACCTCCTGGGCTCAAACAATCTTCTCTCCTTGGCTTTCTGAGTGCCTGGGACTACAGGTACATGCCACTACACTTGGCTAATTTTTAAAAAATTTTTGTGGTGACAGGGTCTTACTATGTTGCCCAGGTTGGTCTTCAACTGCTGGGCTCAAATCATCCTCCTACCTTGACCTCCCAAAGTGTTGGGATTACAGGCATGAGCCACTGCACCTGGCCAGAAGGAAGTTTAAAAAGAACAATTTGAAAAAATACTTACGAGGATACAGTTTTTTGAGTTTTCTTGAGCAATGTAAGTGTAGTAAAGAATTAAAAGATCTATAGTATGAAATATGTTCCCCATTAAATCCTTGAGGGAAAATAGATACTTTATAAGCCTCAAATCTGAGACTTAATTTTGTGGATACTTAGATGTCTGGATTTACATACTCCCTTATCAATTCATAAGGATATTCAGGAAGCCAAGTGATGATTAAGTTATAGTTTGGGAAGTAGGTTGTGAAAGTAATCATGCAGATTTTTATTTTTAGGGATCAAGGTGGTCGGACATTGTGTGGTGTAATGAGGATTGGCCTGGTGGCAAAAGGCTTGCTGATTAAAGATGATATGGACTTGGAGCTGGTTTTAATGTGCAAAGACAAACCCACAGAGACTCTGTTAAATACAGTCAAAGATAATCTTCCTATTCAGATTCAGGTGAGTACAGTTTAAGTGCACCTCTAGGTGAATTTGTAAAAAGGTGAAAATAGGCATTGACTTTGAAAGATTTATTAACAAGAATTGCTAATAGCAAGGCTATACACAGACAAAATGAATACTACTACTCTGGGTCAATGACTAATTCATGACAGTTAAAACAAACTTCAGGTGATTTATACTCAGGATATATTTACCAAATTAAGATGGCCATTAAGGTACCTTCTTAAACTTTTCCGTTATATCTTGCTGAGAATCTTCATTTTTTTTCTAGACTAGGGCTTAAGATTATAAAGTTCTTGGAAGGGTTGGTGTAATGCAGAAAATAATTGGATGATTGAAAACAGCCTAGAGGAGATACTTTCTAGAGACTAAGAGACTTTCTTATCAACTAGAGACTTTCATATATAAGAAATTTTAAAACTGAAGACTCAGTTAATTTGTCACCTATTTGTTCTGTTAATGGGAAATCACTATTAATTCCTTGTCTCCAAACCTTTTTTACACTGGGATGCATTTAGAAAAATTTGATGTTGGCATGTTCCCTGGAGGATGCTGCTGAAGGTGGAAGGCTCCTCAGGGATGAAGGTAACCGTTCTGGGATTCTGGTCATTCTAGGACCTCCCCTGCCAGCCTACCCCAAGGACTAATTGCATCACTGATTGGGAACCTGTGATCATCGTTCATTTGCAGATGCATATTGTCTGTGGTCTAATTAGATTACAGCTTTTGATACTTTTATATCAGTTTGTCTTCATATCCACGTCACAGAAATAGATACTGGCCTGTAGGTCCAAACTTGTGAATTGTTGAATGCACCCCCCCACCACTCATTTTTTAAAAATTAGTTTCTTTTATTTGTATATCTTAAAAGGGGTATGTTTTTCAAGATGTATGAATTCTAACTTTGTTTTTGTTAGCTTTGTTTCTGGATCATTTTCCTTCATATTCACCAACTGACCCTCAAAACCATCTCTGATTTTTTATATACCATTCTTCTCAAATTTATTATACTGATGGGCACATTCTCCTATGTTAATTTTGGAGACACTATTTTACCATTCTGTCTTAATATATGGCATAATACATGTTTTTTAAAGTGACAGAACATACTTGGTTTTGGAGAAATGTTTTCTGGGCTTTTGTAGGGTTAAATTTATTTACCTTTCCCTCCTTTATAAAAAAAAATCCTTTTGTGATCATTTGGGGAAGGAGAGTGAAATATAGCTTTATGTATGAAACGTGGAATAAAGCTTTGCAAAATGAAAAGCACATTAATCGGCTTTCTGGCTAACCATACTGGTAGGTTATTAGAATGTTAATAAAGTTCTCATTTCAATTTATATGTTGTTTTAGAATTTAATCTGTATTTCTGCTTTTAGTGTGGTAAACATTGTTACTCTCAAATCTAGAATTATCAGAGTCAGACATGTTACTGGCTTTTTCACACACGTCACCCCCTTTCTGTTCCTTTCATGAGTCTTGTTTCTTACGAGAATGGTCATATTGCTCATCCTCAGGTGTTGCATTGTTGAAAAGTGATTGAGAACCAGTGCTATAGTAAATCAGAGATCTTATTCGGGAAATCTATCACAGCTCTCCTGTTTTGAAGATAGAGAAGATTGGGCCAAGCTGTAGTTGTCATTGTTAGAGCTTTCTCTGTGCAGATCACAACTGTGTGAATTCCGCATTGTTTCTCTCTTGAGTGAGGGTCTTTGTGAGTGCTGCAGTTTAAGAATGTCCTTGTCTAGTTAGCAAGTATTCAAGGGAGAGAGTACAGGGTATACAGATCATCTCAAATTTTTGGAGACTGAAGCTTTTTAGGCTAGAAAAGACTAAAAATGATGTAACTATCTTTAGGTCTTTGAAATGCTGTCTGAGAGAAGGTAAAAGAAGTGTGAACTCTTAAGACTAATGGTGGATATTATGAGAACTATCTTTCAATTTAACATAGCCAATAGATTTCTCCAGCAATAAATCTGTGTTTGGGTAAAGGTACATTTTCTTGTAAAATAGGGATGATGATTGTACACTAATCTCAGATTAAATTATATACATGTACACACATGCCCACATATATATACATATATGCACGTGTATAACTAATAATATTCATGAAATTATTTTAAGTGTGATTTTTACAATTAAACCTTTTCCCCCTAGCACCCTCCGCCACCACCCTGCCCACTTTTCATGGTGTTTGTGGAAAACCAGTCTCTGATACGGCATTATTTTCTTATGGATCAAAAATCTTTTTCCTGAGCACTTAACATAGCAAATCTTTTAGTTATCTAAGTACGTTAATTAGCTGAAGTTATACTTTACTTTTTCTCTTCATATTCTTTCCTAGGATGATTTTAGTACTTCTTTGAGCAAAGGAGGAAGAGGATGACCAAAACTAGAAATCACTTAAAATTAGTCTAGTACAAAAGGCATGTCAGGTTTATTATTTTGTGGCTTATGGTGATCTGTATGCATAATTGAAAAATGAAGTTCGATTTATTCTTTGATAGACATTTTTAATTCTCTTTTAGTGTCAAAATGAATATGAGCTGTTTTTTGCAGTTTCTTTATATTCTGGTTCTTTCATCTACTGTATGGCCTGTCCCTTCCTTGGCATCCTCTGTTCAGAAGTAGGATAATGAGTTTTCCCTTTCCTAATTTTTTGTCATTGTTTAATGGTAAAATGCTATTTTTCTGTAAGTGACTTTGAAGTCTTTTAATACACACTGATGAGCAGGGACCTGGTAGTGTCTCCATTCAGCCTGGCTATTGTATGTTAGGTAATAGATACTAAATTTCACTACTAAGAAAAAAAGCCCTGTGTAACTTATTAAATCATATATTTAATGTATAATAATATATTGAGCATAACTTAATATATAAATCTGATCAGATGATTATTTTGTGGGAGGCCCCTACTTAAATTGTATGTTAAAAGAAGCAATGTAGATTTTCCTGTAGATGTCAGATGACTTGTCCCATAATGGTAGGTCTCATTGGAAGATCTCTGAGACCTGTTGTCAGAGAAGGGAAGAAGTTACTTGTTTATATTCATTGTTTCCTACTGGTGAGTGACTGTGCAGAGATACTTTTTCACTCCTACTTATTTGGTGATCTTTAAAAAGCTACATAATCTTATATTTGTAAGGTTTTGGCAAGTAGGAGTTCCTGTTTAGGCTATTAAAAGAGATACTGTTTTGGAGAGCAGTCCCAGCTATTTATTATTCTATACCATAATAGTTCTCTATAATAATTTTAAGAATAGTAATTTACCATTTATCACATACTGATGCTGTTGGCATTTTACTTTCAAATATTAGAATGGTTTTAAATATTGTTTCATAATTGTATGGATGGTTGACATTGTAGTTGCTTTTTAAAGAATGGAGAAAGGATCTTCTTGTAAGTTGGGAGGAGAGAAAAGTGTTATCCCCAATAAAGAAGTAGTTAGAGGCTTTGCCTTTTGAGCACAGTAATAGTAATAGTTAATAACATTTGAGAACTTAGTACAGGCATTCTTTTTTTTTTCTTTCGAGGTTTCAGCCTAACTAACTGGGTGATTTTGAAATCTTGGTGACTTTCAGAAACTCACAGAAGAGAAATATCAAGTGGAACAATGTGTAAACGAGGCATCTATTATAATTCGGAATACAAAAGAGCCCACTCTAACTTTGAAGGTGATACTTACCTCACCTCTAATTAGGGACGAATTGGAGAAGAAGGATGGAGGTACACATGCATATATATGTATATTTTTTGTTGTTATTTGTTTTCTTTATATAAAAGCTATGTTAACAGTGTTTTATGGATTTAGGAAATAACCTTCATTTGCTTTATGCCACTCTTTAATAATATTTTAAATGGCTTTGCTTCTACATAATTAGTATATTTTGCAAAAATGTATGAATTCAAAATATAAAATGTTAATTCAAAAGCCTGTGCTTGTCATGTTGGTTTTAACTCTGCTTTACTTTTTATGTCATTTAGTATTCTGTTTTACTTTGTCTAGTATTGCATTAAGTTATTGGTATCAGCCAACTTAATTCTGTGTGTTTTGGTTTAATGGTCAGATTTCAGGATTAAACATGGTCCAGAACAGAATTGTTTTCAAATTTGTTCATTGTTCCAAAATTACTTGCATCCTGGCTGGGCACAGTGGCTCATACCTATTATCCCAGCACTTTGGGAGGCTGAGGTGGGTGGGTTGCTGGAGGCCAGGAGTTTGAGACCAACCTGGCCAACTTGGCCAAACCCCGTCTCTACTGGAAACACAAAAAAATTAGCCAGGCATAGTGGTGAGTGCCTCTAATCCCATCTACTTGGGAGGCTGAGGCACGAGAATTGCTTGAACCCAGGAAGTGGAGGTTGCAGTAAGCTGAGATCATAACACTGCACTCCAGCCTGGGAGACAGAACAAGACTCTGCCTCAAAAAAAAAAAAAAAAAAAAATTACTTGCATCATATTGCTCTTGACGTCTAATAGCTACATTATCTTGTAAGATTTGTACTCATCTGTGTCTAGATTTATTTTATAGTGTAAGGGATGTAAATTGGAATATTGAGTTTTCTTAACGGATAATGTTCAGTAAATTTTTTTCTAAGGGGTTTATGACCCTGTTAACATTTTGAATATGATTTATGTGAGAATTATGCTTTAAACTTTCTTCTGAAGTTAAGAAGAGTTGCTCTTTGGCAATGTCGTCCTTGTAAAAGTAGAGTAAGAAATCTATTCAGTTATTAGTAGTTTTGAGAAGTTCATGATGGAGTTGTGGTGGGCTTCTTTTTCTGATGTTCTTATCCTGTCAAGTTAGCTTGTTTCTGCCTCTCATTTCCTTGAAACTTGCCAGGTGATATTTCTCCTGTGTCAAACCTTTGACCAACTGGCCACTCTGTCATGACAATTTACAGCCTCTCTGGGCCAGTGGAGACTCCCTATTGCTATTTTTCATCACTAGACTTTCAACAAGTCCCATTGCTTACTCCCTTACCTGAAATACCAGTGCTGCAAGAAATATTGGTCAGTCTCTTAATTTATTTTATCTTAGTGATAAGGGTAGAGAAAAAGGTACCAGTGAAGTTGGAATTTTAATTTTTGAGAGACATGACTCATAGGATGACATAAAAGTGCTAGACTCTTTTAAAAAAAATGTTTTTGGGATAACTAAAATCAGCTATATCATAATCCAGCAGATACAAACCAGTCATATTTATGAGTCATATTTTAAAATCAAAGGGCATCCAGTCTATAATTGAGTTTATGCCTATGCATTAATTTTTTTTTGCTGTAATGTAGTATCTATAGCACCTCTGAAGAACCAATCTTAAATGGCTTAATTTTTTTAACAGCTTTACAGTTCACCATTAACTATAGAACTATAAAATGATTTCTGAAGTGTCAAGATAAATGTTAATTCTGGTAAGATGTGTTCTTCTTGACCCTCTAGTATAAAACCAACCATTTCTAAGTAGTGTTGTAATGATAGGTATTATTAAAAATTATTTGAGTATAGTGAGATGAGAAAAAGACTGAAGTTGCCAAAGGCTAGGTTAATTACATGTTTGTTTATATCTGTCAGCCTCCCTTTAATTTTTTTTTTAAAGTATTAAGGGAGCATCAGTCTTCTTTATTCCTTTGGGTTTGTGTACTTATGTGAGATTTTGTTATAGCTTTTAGTGATACCTTTAAACTTAGTCTGTTGCCTTTATAACTTTAACTTCTGTTTAGAAAAGCTGAAAACATTTTTAGTATATTGTACCCTTGCTGGAACACTTATTATAGAATAGATTTTGTAATAAAGTAAGAGAGTCATAGTCTCTGTTCAAGGTGTTTGAGTTACTAAAGGATCGAAAGACCTCTATGAGCTGAGTCTCATCAGCTATTATATGGGATCAGGTAAGGTGAAGGAATCGGCTTTGATCTAATGTTTTACACATTTTACTTCCTTTCCTTTTGAATGGCAGAAAGATTTGCTTTGCTGTTGTCCTTAACATCCCAATCCTGTTGACTCATTTGATATCTTTTCTAATTTGTTCATTTTGTCTAGCCTGGGTTTTGTCAAAGACAATTTTTGGTCTTTGCTACTGGCTGCACATTCCTGGGCAACTTGGAGGATCTAGTATATAACTGAACATTTCAGACCTGGGCTGTACCATTCTGTTTTCTCACACTAGACAGCTCCTCATCTCCTTGATGCCATTCTTTTCAACGGCATGGGTTAAAAGCACAAGATTCATTCAGGTTCCAGGAATTTCTGGGGTTGAAAGTTATCCCTTTTTTATTTCTCTTAATTTATACTCATTTTTTCCTCGAAGTTAAAAAAAATCCCATTGTAAATTTTTTCTTGGAGACATTTTCCTGGAGTATCTTAACTTTCTTTCACCTACCCCTAGCTAAACAAACTGTTCACAATACATACACACCTCACATCTTTCTTTTCTCTCTTTTAACTTGCCACATATTTGGGTAAAATCTAAAAAAGAAAAAAAAAACATGGTTGGGAGCAGACAGAACCAGAGGACTGCGGCATGAAACCTTTTTCCTCAGGATTGTGCAGAATGGATCTAACTACCTACTCATTTCAAATCACTGTTTACATTTTAAACTGCCATAATACAGATAATAATCTTTGGTATTACATACTGTTTCATAGGTAAGTTTCCTCCTATGCTGTCAGTCTTCTTTCTGCATTCTAACCCTTTATGTGAAGGCCCTGTAGAATAACCATTTCCTCATTACTACATGTTTCCTGCTAATGAAGGCATAGGAGAAAAAGCACAGATCTTGATGTGCAGCAGTCTTTTGTTTGGCTTTTTTTTTTTTTTGAGACAGTCTCGCTTTGTTGCCGAGGCTGGAGTGTACTGGTGTGATCTCAGCTCACTGCAACCTCCGCCTCCTGGGTTCAAGCAAGTCTCATGCCTCAGTCTCTTGAGTAGCTGGGCCTATAGGCGCATGACACCATGCCTGGCTAATTTTTTGTATTTTACTAGAGATGAGGTTTTGCATGTTGCCCAGGCTGGTCTCAGACTCTTGAGCTCAGGCAATTTTCCTACCTTGGCCTCCCAAATTGCTAGGATTACAAATGTGAGCCGCTGAGCCTAGCCTTGTTTGACTCTTAACTCCATTAGTTGCTATTGCTGTGTGACCTTGGGTAGGTTTCCTCATTTTAAATTATGGATTATAAAAAACTTTGAAAGTTGTTTTGAGGTTGAGAGAATTTATCTAATGTGACTTGTACAATAACTGGCATATAGTAGTTGCTCAGTAAATAGTAGTAGTCAACTTATTGAAGATTGACAGTACAAACCCATCTACTCAAACTCTTAATCATGAAAATAATGTTCACATGGTAGGTCCAAAGAAGTCAACTCAAGTACAGTTAAACTCTTAAACACTGAGTGATTTATAGTATTATAATCAGTATAATAATTTATGCAGTGCTAATAATAAAAACCTGGTCTATTGTATAGCTTATGATTCATTGAGGGCAGGTGTCTTTTTGCCTGTTCTTTATCCTTATCACCTCTAAGGGTACCTAATACATAGTAGATGATTTTTTTTAAAAGTCCTATAAATCTGTTACTGTTAAGTGAATTAAGAGTCATCATATTGTCTGATTAAATAGGATTCTCCACTGTGTTAGAAGCATTAATGGGCATCTCATAGCTCAAGAAATATATATTGGAGATTAATCTCTGTTAAGATATTTTTATAACCTACCATGTGATAAGCACTTCCTCATATATGATTTATTTTAAAAATGGTCCTATGGGGTAGCTAATTGCTCTGGTTTATAAATGAGGGAAATGTCACATTTTATTCAGCTCCCCTGACTCTACCTCTAGTATGTGGTCCACTTTCCCATTTTGTCTAGGATTACTGCCTAAGTGGTTAAGCTGATCTGGTCATTCTGAGCTTCACATAGAGTCTCAGTTTCTTTTGGTGCTTGTGATTTTATATTAGAAATATATTTGCTATTAAAGTGGATGATAAATTATCTGCTTATTTATAAGGCAGTTTGAAACCAGGTGGATAAGGAAACTACAGAGACCCTGTGGCTTAGACTTAAGACAAACCTCTCTCCTTAGTACTGGGGTGGGTTTTCAGGGATTCACAGAGGAGTTGCTTCAGAGTCCCTTCATATTGGTGCCAATGTGAACTCTCTCTTCTTGGCAGAAATATATCTTGCTGGGGTCAAGGCAGTAGGCTTTACAGGATAGCCATCACAGCTGTGATTATAATGATGCAGCAGGCTTTATTTTCCTGCCTTCACTAGCTTCTGGATCTTCATTATACAGGGCAAACTTATTTTTTTTTGAGATGGAGTCTCATTCTCTTGCCAGGCTTGAGTGCAGTGGCACGATCTCGGCTCACTGCAACCTCTGCCTCTTGGGTTCAAGCGATTTACCTGCCTCAGCCTTCCAAGTAGCTGGGACTACAAGGTACACACCACCACGCCCAGGCCCAGCTAATTTTTATATTTTTAGTGGAGACGGGGTTTCACTGTGTTGGCCAGGATGGTCTTGATCTCTTGATCTTGTGATCCTTCCACCTTGGCCTCCCAAAGTTCTGGGATTAACAGTCATGAGCTACTGTGCCCGGCCAATCCAGGGCAAATTTTTAGGCACTCTTTCCAGTGGCTGACTGCCACTGAAGAAAAGTCATACCAGGTGACATTAGTCACATAAATTAGGAGAACAGTTTTTTCTCTGTTCTACCTTATTGCTACATTTACCTGGTGTGTGTGTGTGTGTGTGGTTTTTTTTTTTTTGAGATGGAGTCTCATTCTCTCGCCCAGGCTGGAGTGCAGTGGTGTGATCTTGGCTCACTACAACCTTCACCTCTTGAGTTCAAGCAGTTCCCTGCCTCGGCCTCCTGAGTAGCTGGGATTACAGGCTCTTGCCACCACGCCTGGCTGATTTTTGTATTTGAAGTAGAGGCGGGGTTTCACCATCTTGGCCAGGCTGATCTTGAACTCCTGACCTCATGATCTACCCGCCTCAGCCTCCCAAAGTGCTGGGATTACAGTTGTGAGCCACTGGGCCCAGCCTACCTGTTTATATTATTATGTGCCTGTGCCCATGTTTTTTCTTGGGACATGTCTTCTCTCCAGAAAGTTTCAAGGAATTGAGAGACAAGGGACTGTGAGGATATTCTTAGGCTAATTAGAAAATTTTGTCAGCATAGACTTAGCTCAGTTTCATCCTGATTGTCAAGGAGCCTTCTCATGATAGTGAGCTCAATTATTTTAACTTTGAAGAGCCCAGGTTCCAGACGTATAACTCCTGTTTAATGCAATCATGTTTTGTTTTTTTTTTTGCTAGCCCCATCTCCAGGCTGGTGTTTTGTTAACAGGAGTAGGTAGTTAGCTTGCATGTAAGGCATTGAGAGAAACTGACCGACGTTTCCTGCAGTATGATGTGATTCTGGTCACTGATTTGACCTCTAACCAAATAAACATGGTTAGGCATAATAGACTTTCCAGTGCTTCCATTGCCAGAATGTTGTATGTACCTTCATTCCCTGATGCTAGGTTACTGAATAATAAACTTTCTTAAAAGCTGTATTCCTGGCCAGGCTCCGTGGCTCGTGCCTGTAATTGCAGCACTTTGGGAAGCCAAGGTGGGCGGATCACCTGAGGTATAGAGTTTGAGACCAGTTTGGCCAACATGGTGAAACTCCATCTCTACTGAAAATACAAAAAATTAGCTAGGCATGGTGGTGGGCATCTGTAGTCCCAGCTACTCAGGAGCCTGAGGAAGGAGAGTCGCTTGAACCGGGATGTGGAGGTTGCAGTGAGCCGAGCTGATGCCACTGCCCTCCAGCCTGAGCAACAGAGTGAGACTGTCTCAACAACAACAAAGAAGCTATGTTTCTTTGCTTTTGGCATTTTTGTGACCCTCCAACCCCTGCCTCCCATGCTTTTTCTTATCTGTTTCACTGGTCACTGTCGGAGAAAATAAGATGACTGACAGTCTATTGCTGCGAATTGAGAACTCCAAGATGTGTTATCAGAAAAGTTTTGATCCTCCTCAAAATTTAAACACCTACATAAAAGTTCAGAAATATTAAACTTAAGATTATGCTACCAGGAGTAGCAGTGTTTTCCCAGCAGCAGCTTTGCAATTGCCATATTAAATGAAGTTTTTTTAAAGGAATGAAAATATATAAAAAACTGTATGTTATTAATTATATAAAGGAAATAGATAATCTGTTCTTATAAATAGCACTGTATTACCATATGAATTTATATTGTTTTAATATTAAGAACTTGAAAAAAGATAAAATGAGATGAATTGTATCTCCTCTACTGTTTTCTATGTCCTGATACTGAAACCATTTTGGATCTTTTGACTTTCTAACTATCAGAGCATGATGAAACATGGTCATTCTGGTGATGATGAAAAAGGGAATCTGGTGCAGGTCTTCTGTTCAGTGCCTGTCCCTTTCATCTCTTTTTCGTAGAATCTATTGTCTTCAAATGTTGACTGTCTGTAGCAACCCGGTGTTGCAGTTTTCTAAAATAAGAGTTTGTGGTTATAATTTGACTTTGGGATGACATAATTTATCAAAATATTTTTTGCCATTGTCTCCCATTAAAAATATCTGTGTTATAATCAGAGTAAGATGCTAATTACAAGCTCTGATCCCTGGATGAAAGTATTAGAAAATACAAGAAGAATTTTGGCTTGCCTTGTCTTTTCCTATCCTCTGCCTCACTTTCCTGTTCCATTGTCTCCATCTTCCTGACATTCCTGCTTGGTAAGATGATAGAATAAAATTTAGCTTGCCATTGTATTCATTTAAAAATTGACATTTAAAAAAATATGGTCTGTACTGTTTATTGGGATTACATTATTCAGCAGTCAGTCACCCTTTGTCATGTCTAACTCTTAAGAGATTCTAAACATTCATTTACAGTACTTTGTTTTATCTGATATGTGAGCTTTACACAGATGGTTGTATTGACCACAGTTAAGCATTTTGACATAAAAACATTAAAGTGAGCTATTTGTCTACCTTGGATCACTATAAAGACAAAATTGGGCAAGTCCAGGAGCTTTATCACCTATGAAATAAATACCCATAGTACATTTGTTTATAAATAAATCCAGAGTAAAGCCCTTTTTCAGGCTTCCCATTTTATGGGTAAAAGGGAGTAATGAAACATTGTATTCTGATTTTGTTACAATGCAAATAACTGCTGTAGAGCTTACCTGGTCAGAAAATAAGTGTGTATAACACTTCAGCCTTTACAGTGTCCTGGCCAGTAAAGAGAACCACAATTCTTCCTTTAGTACATATGTTCCCTATTGGCATTATGCCTTCTTTAGTTAATGACATTTCATCAGTTAGAATAAACATTGGCTGGACATAGTGGCTCACGTCTGTAGTCCCAGCACTTTGGGAGGCCAAGGCAGGTAGATTGCTTGAGTCCAGGAGTTTGAGACCAGCCTGGGTAACATACTGAGATCCTGTATCTATAAAAAAATTCGCTGGGCATGGGGGCACATGCCTGTAGTCCTAGCTACTCAGGAGGCTGAGATGGGAGGATTGTTTGAGCCTGTGGAGGAGGTTACAGTGAGATTGTGCCAATGCACCCCAGCCTGGGTGACAGTGGAAGAACCTGTGTCATAAAAAGAAAAAAAAAAAAAAGAATAAACATTGATTGCTGTAATAGGATCCTCTGATTACTGAGGAAATCAAAAAGTATCAGTGCTCTTGTCACCCATTTAGAAATATATACATTGTGTTATTTGGCCCACACAAATGGACAACCATAATCCAATCTGTTATTATCATGATAATGCTGGGAAGAAGTGTTTGTGGGCTGTTTTATATTACTGTTAAGGCAAACTGAATAGCCATAATTAGTATTCTTTGTTTGCTTTTTATTTTAAAAAGGCATATAAAACTTGAAATATAGTTCACTATGTTTTTAGTTTTAATAATTTTGGTTTGGAATAGGAAATTCCAAAGTGATACTTAAGTTTTCAATCATGGGATAAAGTTTCCGTTAATGGTTATCTTATTGAATGAGTTGATAGTGTTAAAAAAAAAAAGTCATCCTCAGTATATTCTCAGTATATCTCATTGATTACATAAGATTTCCAGTTTTCCTGGAAATCTCCCAGTCAGAGATCAGAATTTCTTCTGTTAAAAAAGTTGTTATTTCTATTGGTCCCAGATTTTCCTTCTTTGCATCTTGCCAAAGGAAAAAGTGCTATGTACTTATTTTGTGCCCTGTGATGTTATACATGCTTAATAAGATCCCAGATTGTAAGTGGCAGCTGTCAATGATTTGTTTACTGAATGAATTTCTTATGCTTCATTGTATTTGTGTGCAGAACTACTCTGATGACTGTTTACTTAATAATAATCATAGTGCACATAATTTTTTTAAAAAACACAGCCAAATCAGGAAGTTTTCTGGGAGTCTTATTAGTTCACTCAAATGTTGTTACTCTTTTTATTTTTTACTGTTCGATAATTTGATAGGAATCCCTTGGTCAAATTGTATCTGTCTCTCTTTATCCCATTTTACCATTAGAAAATGTTTCGATGAAAGATCCTCCGGACTTATTGGACAGGCAGAAATGCCTGAACGCCTTGGCGTCTCTTCGACATGCCAAATGGTTTCAGGTTGGCTTTTTGTTACTATCTTATTGTTATTATATCCTTGTACAAGTTTCATTTGGAACACCTGTCACTTACTGGTTTTCGTGTACTACATAAAATGAGGGATGCTTTCTAGCTCATACCTTGGTTGTTGGAATAATTGAGTTAATTTAGATAAGTGCCTAGTATAGCTTCTACTATAGTTCATGATGTTTTATTATCATATAATTCTTTTTAGCTTAGTATTCTGAATTTCAGATGGGTTGCTTATAAAAATCAAACATGAGTGAGAAAAACTAAGAGTTAAATTAGGTAGTTGCCTGCAGTAGGGGTTGCCATGAGACTATGAAACCAATTTTAAGATTATGGTCCTTTTATTTTAAAAATCTGTTTTTTTTTTAATTCTGCCTTTTTAAACCTTAATTTTACTACTTTTGATTACTTGATTTTTTTTTATTGTTGTTGTTTGCTTGATAACTGACGAATAATTTGCTACTTGGTATTCACTTGAAAGAACCTGCCCAAAAGAATAATGGATCTCAATAGGGATATCTGGAATAATTTTGTTTGTTTTAGGCAAGGGCAAATGGATTAAAATCATGTGTAATTGTCCTCCGCATTCTGCGTGATTTGTGCAACAGAGTCCCCACATGGGCACCATTGAAAGGATGGGTAAGTACTTAACTATGGCTAAAAGCAAATTTGGAAGGTGCAACAGAGAAAATCCTATAGAAATGAGATATTATTTTAAAATGGCTATCTCCTAAGTTAGCTGAGGCATATGTTACATACATTTGCCATGCAAAAAAATAAAGCATATTTTTAAATGAATTGTTCTTTTGTGCATATAACCTGTATCTTCTACCTTATTGTATTCATGTTATAGAGTGTGAAATATTTTTTTTTTCTGACAAAAAGGTTTTATACCTTTTAGAAGTGAGTGTCTCCTTACATTTGACTGTGTACTGGTGGTTAATCACTTACTGCTCACCTGCTGCTCACAAAAGCCTCCTTGGCTGACCCATTTCTCTTTAGGTGCCCCCTTGCATTACAGTGGAAATTACCCAGTAGGCCAGTATTAGGATCCTATACCTCTGTAGCTTTCTCTCTGAGTGGAGACATTTACAAATAAGTTCATGTTAGTAATTAAAGTCAGGCAAGCAGTACACTGAACCCCATATGGATATCATTTATTGTGTGTGTGTGTGTGTGTGTGTGTGTGTGTGTGAAAATTGACTTGGAAATTTTTATACCTGCTCCAATCAAGACAACTTAAGGACATTATAAAACAATCTAAAGCCATGAAAGGTGATTTTATAAATGAATGTAGCAATTATTACTTTGACAAAATATTATGAGTTCTTAGTTTATTGAACATGGAGATTTGGTCCTTTGTTTATTCCAACGGTCATACTTTTGAAGCAGGCTGCCTGAAATGAAGTCTTATTATTGAAATATTTGTGGTTTGTGTGCTTCCTAAGTGGGAGATAGGTGAGCTGGGTTTTGTACACTGGTTATTAGCTGTTACTAATATGAAGGCTTATTAAATCTTTGTTAAATGAATTAGAGACCATAGTTTCTTTAGTGATCCTTTCTGAGTGAATAAATATAAAGTTTTTGTTATAAAAATGTTTTCTGAAGATACTATCTTAAATGCTTGATTTAAAAACTCTGCCCAGGGTAAAAGTTGATAATCATGGGGAAAAGGTTAAGTGGGCCCTAAATGTTAAATTGAGTTTCACTTTTTGGCCTCCCTTGTAGATAGAAATGTTAGCTCACATTTAACTGGAATCCTTTTAACACTTGGTGCATGTACTAATTTGTAATTTAATATCTTCTAGCCACTAGAACTTATATGTGAAAAGTCTATAGGTACTTGTAATAGACCTTTGGGCGCTGGGGAGGCCTTGAGACGAGTAATGGAGTGTTTGGCATCTGGAATACTACTTCCTGGTAAGGGTTTCAAACTCTGGAAGAAGAACGATCAGCAACTCTCATTTTAGTTTATTTTTCTAAATAACATGCTAAGTTTGTCCTCTACACGGGAGAATGATGTATAGGAATTCTTTTGCTTGGAATTTTGACAACTAGAATGTGTGTTGGCAAAGTGCTATAAAACTCTTTTTCAATAGTTATAATTTGTGTTTTATATGTACTAACATAAAGGGTACTAATAATATATTGTGTCTGCTTTGAATTTGCTTTACCTCAAACTCTGAATTTGAAATTATAGGTGTTTAGTTAAAATTTTTGAAGTTCAATCTTTTTGTAGTCTGGTTTTAAATTTGGAAAAATTAAATTTGGTTTTATTTTCCATATGTAATTTCTTTTAAGATTTGGGCTGATTCATTGTGCTGTTTCTAAATTCTCAGAGTAAGACTCAGTTTTGGCCTTAGATATACAAGTGACTTCCAGTATAAAATAAGGACATGTAAGTGCTAACATGTTGAAAATAAGAGTGTGTCCTTTTTACTCCACTTAACTGAGCAGACTTTTAACTTAGTTCCTCAGTTATTTTTTATTTTCTCTTCATTCTCCCCAACCATCTCTTTTTGTTTTAGTTTACCAAATTCTAAACTCAGTTCTAAATGAAACTTGTGTTTTTCCTTTGCCAAAGGAGGTCCTGGTCTTCATGATCCTTGTGAGAGAGACCCAACAGATGCTCTGAGCTATATGACCATCCAGCAAAAAGAAGATATTACCCACAGTGCACAGGTAGAAGATTGAACATATTACTCTGACTTACTAGCAAGAGAATGTAACCTGATTTTCTCAATTATTGTGTTCGAACACTTTTTTCTTGTGTGTTTAGGGACTTCTGTTATAATGCCAGAATTTATGAGTATCTTTTTAGCTAGATGTTCTAAGGGCTTTACGAATGGCTATTGAAATGTGATTAAATATAATGCTTTGTTCTTTAGCATGCACTCAGACTATCAGCCTTTGGCCAGATTTATAAAGTGCTGGAGATGGACCCCCTTCCATCTAGTAAGCCTTTTCAGAAGTATTCCTGGTCAGTTACTGATAAAGAAGGTGAGTGTGGAAGTTTTTTTACTAGGGTTGGGGGTTGTGGGATGCATCTCTTGTTACAATTTAGGGAACGTAATAATTGTGTATCCAAGTTATGTATAAGTTGTGATACAGGATGGCAGTGTCCCCACCCAAATCTCATGTTGAATTTAGTTCCTATAATCCCCACATGTTGTGGGACTGACCCTGTGGAAGGTAATTGAATCATGGAGGCAGTTACCTCCATGCTGTTCTCATTTTAGTGAGTGAGTTCTCACAGGATCTGATGGTTTTATAAGAGGCTTTTCCCCAACTTTGCTCCACACTTCTGCCACCATGTGAAGGAGGATGTGTTTGCTTCCCCTTCTGCCATGATTGTAAGTTTCCTGAGAGCCATGTGGAACTGGAGTCTATTAAACATCTTTCCTTTATAAATTACCCAGTCTCAGGTATGTCTTTATTAGTAGCATGAGAAGGAACGAATACAGTAGCTAGAACAGACTAATACACTGACTCTTCTCTTCTCTTCCCGTCAGGTAACATCAGGTGATGTAACATAATCGTGTTTTCTTATTAGTGATTAATTCATTTGGCTATGTTGGCCAGATTTCATTACTGCATAGACTCAGGGACTATACTTTGAGAACTCCTGGTCTAAGAAGTAGAAATCAACCATAAGCTAGGAGGAGACATTATCACTATCACTAATCAATTTGATGATCTTTCTCATGCTTGGAAATGTTATCTAACCGAGAAAGAACAAAAATACAGATGAGAAGAAAAATGTATTGGAAAATTCAGGATCATCTTCCATTTGTATTACTCTGTTGAATTCAGAGTTTCTGTGGAAAGAATGTAGGTTTTTGGGGTCAATATGGCCTGGGTTCCAATCATAACTTCACCATTTCTAGTTTTGGACCTTAAGCAATTCACTCATCTCTCTTACTAGGGATATTACCCCTTTTCTTATTTTATTGGCTCTTGTCAGGTTACAATGCCTGACTTGGTGCCTGGAATCAAATGTGAATCCACTTACTGTTTTTTTTAGGCTTCAAACAATATTTTACTTCCCCCTCTTTCTCTACTGTTAAACTAGAAAGTGGAACATTTAATACCAGATGTTCTTCACTTGGAATGAAGCCTACCTCTAACAACTGAAATTACTCTAGTATATCACAAAAATAGTGCAGTTGCCCAATCTGTTTGTTTAGACGAAGACTTTCAGAGAGTCTACAAGGTCAAACTGTTTAATAGTAACAATAAAATTAAGGTTTTTTTGTTTGTCTTTTTCACTCTTTCTTTCCTAAATGTATAGTTTTGCAGAGGCTACATGTGACATGTGATAGGATCATTGGTCTGATGGCTAATGGAATGTTTTCTATATTCTTGTGTTTATATTTTTTTGTTTTATTTTTAATATGCTCAATATTGACAGATACCACAAAGCATAAGTCTTTGGGTGCTCAGTAATTTTTAAGAGTGTGAAGTACTCCTTAGCTAAAAAGTTTGAGAATCATTGCCTTACACTGTAAACTCCTCAGGGGAAAGAATCCTCCAGATTCTACTGTATGATTATTATAAACCAATGCTCAATACAACTTGAGGAATGAAGGCCATTTTCTTCCAGCAGTGCTTACTCAGTGGTGAAGAAATTATTGAAAGAGATTTACATATCCATGTGACATCAAGCATTATCTATCTGTGAATTGAACGATTGAATAAAAATTTTATATATATTCTTGATTAGTATCAGAAAATTTCATTTCGGTCACCAAATTCACAATCACTCTTTTGGTTTTATATTTTCCCCTTCACTAGATAGTAAAAGTATGTTTACTGTTATGTGACTTCGGTGTTTTTTTAACTTTAAAGATCTTTCTCAAAGTTTGGGAACTGCTGGTTTGTCAGTTGATGGCATAAAATAGAACCAGACTGCTGATGTTTCTTTTCTAGTTCTGTCAGTTACTAGCTACATGACCTGAGCAAGTCACTTTACCATTTTTTGTGTTTTGGCTATACAATGATCTTTCTAATACACTCATGCTTTTAGCACCTAGCTTCCTGTTCTTTATTCCTGTTATTCTTAGTGATTTCCATATGCAAATCTCAGATGATTTCTTTGAGTACTCCAGTCTCTCAGTTCTGTGACTTCCTCTCTCACAAATATTTTATCTTCTGCCTTACCTTAATTACTCATTCTATGTACATAGCCTAGTTCTTGTCTTCATCAGTAACTGTACCTGTATTATTTCCATAATCTTGTTTTCAGGAATCCCACTTTACAATCTCTTGTCATTACTCAGTCTCCTACCTTTATTTCAATTCTTGAATCTTGTCATTGATTCCAATACCTTTGCATAGTCCTTCATCCTCCCCATGTTCTCTCTTCTGTCCTTACCCTGCTTGTACTACATGATCCTTGATGATTACTCCCTAGCATATACCTTCACTTCCTTGATTCTCTGTTTCTGGCAAAATTCTAACTAGTTGAAATCTGTCTCTCTACCTTCTCTGTGTCTGAACATGGCTGGAAAAAAAAAGGCACAGCCATCTTGAGCATTCTTCCTTTCAGTCTATGATACTAATATAATGGTGACTAATATAATTTGTGTTGCCTGGCGATCCTGTAGATTTGAGACCTCTCCAGTTTTCCTATATAACTGTTTCGCATTTTCTCACATTTCACACTTCATTCTCTATCTCTTTACTCACCTGATGAGCGTGTTTGCTTCTATTTTCTCAGATAATTATTAATTAGATAATTTCTGCATGTACTCATCACTGTCTCCAAGCCCCACTGCATCAACTCCTGTTCTTTGCTTTTCCCTCCCTTGCCTATGTAGAAACTGCCTCGCCTCTTAAGACTGACCTTTTATTTACCCACTATATCACATCCCCTCTTGCCTACCTGTGGACATTAGTCTAGCAATTATCTCTTCTCTCACCAGTGTCAGTTCCTCCCTGTCTACTGAATGCTTTTCATCAACATAAAAACCTGCTGTAGTATCTCCCATCTGAAAGACAAAGCCAAAACAAACTCCCTTGATTTTGTAGGTCCTGCAACAGTTATATTTCTCTACTCCCCTTTATAAGCAGTACTTTGGGAAGGAGCAGCCTTTTTATCTTTTCTCCATTTCCTTACTTTTAATTCTTGTTGAACCTGTTCTAATCAGGTTTTCTTCCTCACCAGTTGCCTGAAGAATCTGTTGTGACCTTCACATTACTGCATTCACTGGTCAGTTTTCAGTCCTCATCTTAGCCAGCTTTTCAGCAACATTTGACACAGAGGAACACTTTTCTCTCCCATATTTATTTTCTAATGAGATACAGAACATATATAGAAGAGTACAAAAAATACGCAGTTTAGAAAATGATATTTTTTACAAACCCATAAAATCAGTGCCATGTTTAAGAAACAGAACTTATCAGTGCCTCGGAAGCTGTCATGTATCCTTCTCATTACCTTCCTGTACCAAGAAGTACCATTTCTGACTTTCTGATAATCATTTCCTAGATTTTCTTTACCACTTTCCCACCTGTATATGCTTTCCTAAATAATTTGAGTTTGCCTGGAACGTTCTAAGTTTAGTCTTTTGTGACTGGCTTCTTTCTGTTCAGCATTCTTTGGGATTAATTTATGTTGTTGCACATGGCTATAGTTCATTTTAATATGTATATAGTACCCATTATGAATAAACTAGTTTACTCATTCTACTTTTGAAGGATATTTAGATTCTTTAGTTTTTGACAACCACTTACTATGTTGCCATGGGCATTCTTCTGCATGCCTCCTGAGGTATACATAAACAACCTAGTAAATGGTCGCACATACCAGTTTACACTCCCACCAACAGTGTATACAAATTCCTGTTTCCCTATATCCTTAGCAACATTTGCCGTTGCCACTTTTTCTGAAATGAAATACTATTCATTTGATTTCCAGGTCATCAGCTTCCTTGGTTCTTCTAGCTCTCTTCTAATCTCCTCAGTTGTCTTTGTTCTTCCTCATCTTCCTGACTTCTGAATATTAAAGTGTCCTTGGGTTCAGTCCTCAGACTATTTCGCTTTATTTACATGGATGTTTTAGGGGATCTTAGTCTCTTGTCTTCAAATACCTTTTTATACTGAAGACTGTCCCAAGTTTATACTTCATCCCAGACTACCAGCTCTTGAACTCAGACCCAAATATCAAAGTGCCTCCTCAATGTCTTTACGTGAATGCCCAGCAGACATCTCAAACTTCAGATGTCTAAGATCTAAGCTTCTGCCCTTACTTTGCCTTTGCTCTTCTTTTTCTATAGTTAACTCTGTGCCAGTCATTGGAAACTCTCTGCTTAAGCCAGGATTCTTTGGGTTGCCCTTGAATCCTCTCTTTCATTCACCCATATCCCAAATACCAGCAAATTCTTTTTACTTTTAAAGTGTGTCCAGGCTGGGTGGTAGCTCATGCCTGGACACACTATAATCCCAGAACTTTGGGAGGCTGAGGTGGGCAGATCACTTGAGGGCAGGAGTTTGAGACCAGCCTGGCCAACATGGCGAAACCCCATCTCTACTGAAAACATAAAAATTAGCGTGGTTGGCATGTGCGTGTAGTCCCCACTACTCAGGAGGCTGAGGCAGAAGAATCACTTGAATCCAGGAGGCAGAGGTTGCAGTGAACAGAGGTTGCACATCTGCACTCTAGCCTGGGTGACAGAGGGAGACTCTGTCTCAAAAAAGAAAAATATTGGATCACCTGAGGTTGGGAATTCTAGACTAGACTGACCAGCATGGAGAAACCCCGACTCTACTAAAAATACAAAATTAGCTGGGCATGGTAGCGCGTGCCTATAATCCCAGCTCCTTGGGAGGCTGAGCCAGGAGAATTGCTTCAACCAGGACGTGAAGGTTGCGGTGAGCCGAGATTGCGCCATTGCACTCCAGCCTGGGCAACAAGAGTGAAACTCCATCTCACAAAAAAGAAGTGTGTCTGGAATTTAGCTTCTTTACTGCTAACATCCTTATCTAAGCTGCCATCATCT